TATCTTATTGTATATTTTTATTCTATTTTATTCTACTGTATATATTATTCTATTCTGTACAGCTGTGTACTGTATTTATTCTTATTGTATTCTAATTTTTGTGTCATAACTTTTGCACTGTCCACTTCCTGCTGTGACAAAACAAATTTCCCACGTGTGGGACTAATAAAGGTTATCTTATCTTATCTTATCTTATCTTAAAACTAGGCATTTTTAAATCATATGCCTAATCACTATGTGTCACTGTGATCCACAAGTATGGTCACAAATTTGTTTCCAAACCAACAAAATAAAATAATCAAACAAAAACAAAAAACATACATGAGTCAGGACACAAAAAGAAAAAGAAAAAATGCTGCCACTGAAACAAAGCAGAAGTGTGAGGGAAAAAACTGAACTCACAGACAGCTGCATGTGTTGGCTTTTAATAGTATGCAGCTTCTGCTCTAAAAAACAAATAAATAAAAAATAAAAGAAAATGTGTAACATGCTTATCAGCTTAGCAGTGTCCACATATTTAATTCAGCTTCTCAATCCTGTAGCTTTTACTGTTGTCTACAGGGTTTGGCTTATTAGTTGTTATTATAGGTGTGCTCTATATCTCAGTAATGTTTCATCTAGGATGAATGACAGGTTTTCAAGCAGGTCAAGTGCCTCTATGCACTTAATTAGTTTAGATATTTTCTTTATTTTCTTCATCTCATATGTCATTATACTGAGTTTGAGCAAACCTTAAGCTTGATGCAGACTACTTCATAACAACCGTCCACCTCACATCATAACTGACTAAGGTGCCTCTTCATATTAATATTATGTCATTATTAATATTATCATCTTTTTTCTTTCTCTATAATAACAATAGTATATTACAATATTTTATTAGTGTATACCACTATACTACTACTGAGCCAATTTAATAGTTAGGATCATCTTACTCAGCAAAAAGATAATTTAGAATTCATCCAATCTGCACAGATTTGCTTTTTCTCTGAACAGGTTTGTGCCTACTTTTTTAGACTGGTCTTCTGTTTGCCTCATCTCAGATCCAACCTTCGGTCACATTCGTTCACTCTGTTGCATGGCGAACCAGGCAGTTTATTATAATATATTATTTATATTTTATTTTGTATCCATCAAGGGCTTCGGGTGATCTGCAGTTTCACCATTTCCCAAGTTGGAGACATTTACCTTTTCACACACTTTCCTTGGCTGAACAATGACACAGCCTTAATGTACCTTATGCATCTCTCTGTTTTATTTAATAGGTTTTCGTGTGAATTATTTCCTTTTATTCATTCTATACATTCTGGGCATGGTCGTCATGCCAACTATGTTTCATTGTTAATATCAGTTTACAGGTGGTTATCCTTGCTGTTATTAGTTTGAATATGTTAAAGATAAGTTCTAATGTAATTTTGCCTTTGTTTATTTTATTTTTATACTTCTTATATTTATATCTATTCGGTGGGGTCTGTTTCCAACCTTTTTAAACTACTTTAAACTATTTTGATCTCTAGTTTTCCCTTAAATTTGTAGTTTATCATTAACAGTAACAGAGTGGAAAGAAACCATAACATTTGGATTGTCTACATTAAAAGGAACTACTTCCTCTTCCACCTTTCATAGTCATGTGCGAAATACGGCTGTATAAATGTCTCGCAGCCCCTTGGCGTGTGCAGCTGAGCGTAATTGGAGTCATGTGCGGACGTATTTTACCTCCACAAACAGCTGAGACGTGGTTTGCGATACATGTGGCAAAAAAGTGAGGTGTTGTGGCCATACTAGAGAGACATTCAAAAGGGCTGTTGGGGGGTGATAAATACATTTTACAGGGTTTATTTA